AAATAAAAAACTCATGTTGGTTTTAAACGCAAATATATTGTATTAGGTAACTTATTTTTCTTTAACTATGACGACTAATCCATAGTGTTAAAGACAAAACTGATACGCTAGCGCCATCTGTTTCATTGTTGGTATTTGGAGAAACTAGCTAGGTCCTTATAGAACTGACACCTGTCGTTTACCGTTATGATTTATTTTAGGTACTAGTGTGTCAATCAGATTGTTAAATTAAATTAAAAATATGTCTCCTAATATATACAGCGTTTTAAACGGTTAAAAGTGTTTTATTTAAATGTTTATTACTCGCGTAAACTACAGACAATTTTAAAATTACTTCTTTTTCTTTAATAACGCAAGGCTGCTTGCATTTTTATACATTGTACATAAATACAAAAAAATATATATTTCTACTGTCGAAATTTCATTGGTCAATATGGTCAGAAATAATTAGGTAAAACTTTTCAAATACAAATTGGATCCAAGGATACATTAAGGTATTTTCACATAATGATTTATTATCTATTAGATCAAAAAACTCTTGAGATTATTTCTGTAAATGCTTTGTATTTATATAATAAAATATTTTGCAGTTAATAAAATAGACAATACTATTTTGCATTGCGGTTTCACACACCATACCGAAATGAAACAGTTTACAAAGGGTTTATCTATAATGACAACAAGTATTATATGTTTTTACGCAGCCCCACAGCATTCCTGACCGCTATCACCACATTTTCATAATAAATTATAGCCGTATATAAAACCTAGGCTAATGACGCTGATATGAAAATGATTCGCGGTTCGGGAAATCCGCTCCGGGATATTGAATATTATCCGGCCATCGAAAACTTTTAATCCGATCGACCGTTACATTTTAATGAAATGGTTCGTCGCGCTCGTCTTTATGAGCGGTTTATATCAAAACTAGGTTTCATCCGCGACAATATCCGCTTAGGAAAGTTACTATTTATTAAACACATGTTTACCAATTTATTTTTTTTAAAGAAAAACAAAATCCCCTCCGGGTCACCAGACACCGTCCAAACATGAAAAAGGCGTGAAGTTTAATCGTGTTTCAGTCTGTGATTTTTCGAATTTCCAAAAATAGGACGACAGCGCATCTTGTTTACATGTTATCTGGTTGGGATATTTCAACTTCTATCAAGTAAACTTCATACTCCTCTATCATAAAAAAAATACCTTACATGGTACTTTTATTAAGGTAAGCTTCGGCCGCTTCATTTATTAAATTAAATAATAAGGACGCTTGTATTACTTATACAAAACATAATTGTTATTAAACAATTAAAATATTTTAAATTTTATATGTGTAATGTTTCCACCATTTGGTTAGCTAGTAAGATGTTGCGCCAACACAAGCTTAATATATACAAAAACAGCAGAAAATCATCTGTTTTTTGGTTTCTCATTTTGTAAATCTCTACGTTTTTAACTTATAACTCTGTCTGTTAATATTTACAAAATATTATAGAAAATACAGAGTTCAACTTTCAGCATCATTCAGGGGCTGCTCAAAGCAAATTCAAATGGATCTCTCATTAAAAATAACAAAATGCAAATACGTCTATTAATTGCGATGTGCCCTACAAAATTTCACCGAAATTCGGAAACGAGTAAAAAATGTAACAAAAAAGTTCGCATTTTGTGTAATATGCTAATCTTGTTAATTAGAGGGCGCTGTCCTCTGAGTGGCTGTTGAGAAAAATACGTTGGCTGGAGCTGAATTATGATAGACATTAATATCGTCTGCACTTCCGCCCGCTAACCGCGTATTTACCAGCCTCTATACCTTCACGACCACGGCTCAGAAAATTTAGCATGTCAATCGGTATTGAAATCTTTTATCAACGTAGGTAACTAGGTACACTTATATTCAAGCCAGTTAAACACTAAAGACTCTAAATTTACATTTACTTATATTCGTTTTGCTCATCGATGTTTGAGACATAAATAACTAAGTTTCGTTTCTCTCTGTGACTCAAAACAATTGTTTTGATGTTCGTACCTTGCTGAATGCAGTATTTTTCATATTTACAAGGCAAGGGGAATCTTTTCCATTCCATGAACATGTATAACAATTAGCAATTTTTAAGAATGAGATATGATTACGGAGATAGGAGAATATGATTATTAAAATGAAATATAAATATAGATATTTAATATTATGAATAGCGACTGACATATTATTTTCTATAGATTTTTGTATATGGCAACACAAGTTGGTAGTATATATATTTCTTTATACACAGATAAAACAAATAAGTCACTAGTAATCACTAATGAATGCGATTCCGTTTCATATTTTAAATAAATAAATGAATAAAACCACCATAAAAATTAAGTAGCTGTTTTTCCTCCTCTGTGCGTAAACTCATGAAATATTAGCAAGGGGAACCAAAACATCTACAAATGTCCGAACAAGAACAAACCTAATGAACTGCAATTTTTAAATTATAAGCTCTTTAATTTGCGCTTAAGTTTAACTTCGCCATTCAAGTTTAATAAAGATTTCCCAAAGGTTCTTTTGCTGGTTTTCTACAGGTACAATTTGTTATACAAGTTTTAAACTTTGATGTCATTTTGTACTGTTCTTTTGCTATGCTATGCCATAAAGATACGTTTTAATAAATCATGAGTATACCGTCATTCGAATCTAGGACCTTCAAGACTTTGCGTATGTTACGTCATACAAGATATTTATAATCTTAGATAAAAATATGATGGACTGCATTGATTAGCATTGCGTTAAGTGCGAAAGATGTTGTGTTTGAATCCCGTTAAATAATTATGTTTAAATTAAAATTAAATCAATCATCACAGATACAGAAAAATGTCTTCGTTATATCCCAAATAGGCACATTGGAATAATCCAATGAAATGTTGAAGTTATTTTATCTTGGTCAATGCATTATTAACCAGATAGTACATCCGACATAGTGCTACCGAGTAACTATGAATAAACAAAAGACACATTAAACATATGATTCCACGTTCCGAGTGCGCCGCTCGCTTTGCGGTCGCAGAAAAAGAACTCAAAGAGAAAAACAAAAGTAGTCTAGATAAAATATAAGTATGTGTAAAGCCCAGCCAACAGCCAGGTGAGAGGAAAGAGCAGTTCTGTAAATCAGCTGAACCACCGAGATTTATGCGCAAATAAAGCGACCGCAGCGCACGCTCGGCCATTCCGCGAAGTTATTTCAATTTAACGCTACGCACCCACGTATACAACAAATTAACGCAAATCGTCCAAATGAACGATTACCTCATTAGCGTCCACTAATTAACTGGTCGTAATTTGAAATTGTTGTGACCCGACTACTGAATCAACTCTGATGGGTCGCAGCTTAATGCTGTCAGGCCGGTTCGATAACCTCGACGATTAATTCAGTTCACGGAATGAGAATGCCATTGTGATACATATTATAAAGATTTATTAAAGATCGTTTAAAAAATATATGTCGTACACGTTATGTCTGTATTAGATCAGTTTTCAGTGCCAAGCAAGAAGGACGCTATTAGTTTTCTACGGAAGGCGCAGATATGAACGACCGATTCGTTTAGGACTTAAGATTTTAAAAATTCTTATTTGTTATAATTTACTGATTATTACTTATTCTGCGATATAAAAAGAATCAAAAAAAAATTGAAAAGAAATGTCTAGACAAATTAAAACCCCTAGTTTTTAATATAGGATGATAGAACTACAAAATCATAATTCAATGAAGTGGACAAAATAAAAATACACAATTTAAAAAAAATTAAATATCAAGTTATGTTTGAAATATTTTATATAAACCATTTTCACTATTTTATGTTTCTTATTATAAAACTCATAACAAAAACCCGTTTAATTAGGAAGTTTAGCGTAAAATACGAACCAATAAACGTTTTTAAGTGAACACTAACATTAAAAAAGAAAAACAGTCGCTCTGTACAATGAAAGAAATGCATTTTCACAATATTGTCACGTCTGAATGATGTTGCTATGCAATTTCACGCAATGCTTGCGATGCGACTCGTTACATTACTATGGGACCTCTTGTGTTTATATATTTAATGATAAAACGTGATATAAATACAAATGTTAAAAGAAAATCTATTAATTCATTTTAGTTATCCTTGTTAGGTGTTTACATGTTTTCCTCATATAGGTTACATGCTAAATAGTTTTTACATCATTTGTTTTTAAAAAATGATGTGAGCGAATTTAAATATTAAAAATTAATTTATTATTTATGTACGATAGTTTTATTTTGTGTATACCTTCCTGTGATACGATGTAACGTAAAATATATTTAAATAGTAATTATATGTTCTGTTCCTATGCGGATTTTATGAATGTTAGTTCTTGTTCTCATTTCGAATATTACTGGAAAAAATTGCGCCTTGAACTATGAATAGACAAATATTGAAATCCATGTAATTGTACAACGAAACTAATGTGATTAAGAAATAACCTTCTTGTTTTCTCTTTATAATTGGTTGCGTGGAAGAGATCGCTGCTTAGCGAAAAGGCTGACTTTTATTTATAAGCTAATTCATATGGTTTTATTAATGTAAACCATTCCCGTGGTGTCTGTGGATAGTTAAGTTGTATATATAAATAATCTTATAATGCCTATAGATATTACATTTTTGGTTTCCAACCATCAACGATAGCAAGAATTGACAATTCAACTCATTGTGAAATTTGCGCCTATCGAAACATATACAAGATCAAGGTTTAATTTAAAAATAAAGTGATTAACGACTCTTATCTAGCTCATGGTCGTTTTAAACCACTCGTTTTCGCTGCGTAATTAAAAAAAAAAATGTCGCTATATAGTAAATGTTTTACTATCACATATTATTATCTTATTTTACATTTTAATTTATATTTATTAATATCCTATTCCTATATTCCTAAAATCAAAGCAGAAAGTACTGTCAGAAGTTTTATGTCAATTATAAATATAAATTAGCTATTAAACTACACATCACTTGTCATCTAATGAAAAATTAACTAGCTTCTCTGACTCTGTCCAAAGTCTTTTTGCTATTTCTACGTCTTGTGACAATCTGGATGGCTTCGCTATACGACAGTCGCTGAAATAGCAGCCACTTACGTCCTGAACATCCCGCGATACAGCCAAATATATCGAGGTCTGCGCTGCTTCCCAGGGGCTTTGGTATAAAAATCCTATAAACATATTTAGTATACCACGTATCACTTTACTTCGGATATTCCTGAAAAGGTTAGTGGCACTCACGCCTGGATGCAATGAGTTCACAGTGACACCTGTTCCCTTCAATCGCCTCGCTAATTCGACAGTCGTCAAATTCATATACAGTTTGCTGTTCGCGTAAACTAAATAATCGCTCCAATACTTTTCCATATTCAAATTCTCAAAATTCATTTCGGCGTCCGCATATTTATGCATCAACGATGATACGTTCACGATCCGGCTGGGGGCCGATGATTTCAATAAAGGCAACAACAGACACGTCAACAGGAAGGGTCCGAAGTAATTAACCTGCATTCCAATGTGATTTCCATCTTCAGTCTTGTAATTCCCGAGTCCACCCGCGCCCGCATTATTTATGAGCACGTCCAAACGGCTCTCCGTTTTGTTGATTTTTTCGCAAAAATCACGCACCGAACGCAGCGAAGCCAAATCCAGGTGTCTGTAGACTACGTCCGCGTTGCCCGTGGCCTGAATTATTTCATCCTTGGCTTCCGTGCCTCGCTTGACACTGCGGCACGCTATAATGACTCTCGCTCCACGCTCTGCTAGATTCTTGGCGGTTTCGAGACCAATTCCGCTGTTGCCGCCCGTGATTATGACAACTTTCCCGACCATGTGAGCACTCGAATGACATATTCCACAAGTCAACTTCTGATAGACTTTCGTGGCTAACGCTATGAATATAACAACACTGATTAATAATACTATGTAATACATGCTTCTGGTGTCTAGATCACGATTTAAGAACGGGTTATCTGACCGTTGCAGCCATGAACAAGCAGTAGATAAATGAGTCCGGCTCGTTTCTTTTCACCGTATCTCGCTGATAAAGAATAATGATAAGAACACACGTGGTGGTGGCGAGTACGCGTCTGTACCGTAATGTTGACCGGACTAAATGGAGCGTGCGTACGCGCCGAGTTCTTGACAAAGTGTTACGTAAACAGAAAAGTCATTGAATCTTTGTATCTTATGTGTCACTTTGCGATGACCATACGAAATAGAACCTGTATTTCCTCAATACGTAAACGTTAAAACCATGAGGATAATACTTTGTATCTATTGTGTTAATTTGTACTGTGTAATAAATTATAATTTGTAAAAGTGGTTTTTCATATTAAACGTGATTGAGAGATAGTAAAGTTGGAGTCGTATAATATTTTACAGTTTAACATGACCTTGTACACTTGGACAGTAAAGTTTTATATTATATCCGTAAGAATAACTTAATAACAGAACAGTACCGAGAATCTTATTTATATAAATAATAATAATAAAGTTAGAATCTACAACTATTTTGTGACGTTCATAAATGTACAGAGTTACCTACATGAATAAATGATTTTTGACTTGTCTTCACTTGAATATTATAACTTTGTTACATTTTTTTTACTTATTAAAACAAGAAGTAAATGTTTTAATACATTTTTGGTTAAAAGGTTTAAAAATAATAGTAATTCGTCATTTACACAAATAGTTTAAAACTGTTTTAGAAATTAGTTTTTATTTATTTACCTCCGGTTCTACCTTTAAACGGTATAGCAATTTAGTTGAAATAAGACCAGAAAAATACGCCACATTGATTTGGTTGTCTCTCATCCTATAAATATCTCTGTAAGCAATTACTTGTAGACGCTTATCTAATTAGTTACAGGATAAAATCGAGCAAGTGGATAGCTGCAAACGAGAGGAGCACGTTTTACGATCTTGTTAAGTCTTATAATTGTTGAACTTGGCGCCTGCGGCTTTAACCTACCATTACCGACTTAGAAACTCTCCTGCTAAGCTCAAGATTAGATCCTTTAAATTTCGCGCGCGAAAACCGCTAACACGCAAAGTACTTCATAATTATGTTAATAAGAGGGTCAAAAGTCTTTTTCACGCACATACCACGAATAGCTACATAATTTATTTATTTGAATTAAGAACACGTTTATTCTTTTATCTAATAATAAATGTCGATATTAAAAAAATATATAATAAAAAATTTTTACAACGCCTGTTCATAAAAAGACTAGCAATTTCTCTATTACACGGCCAAAATGTATGTATTTTCTTATTTAACTTGAAGTGAGTTTCTTGTCTTTGTATTTATCGTAGAAAACGTTACAAATCAAATTGTAATGAAAATTTCATTACAACTTAAATGATACATACTTTGTAAAAAATATACTACCTACAACCTAAGTATACAAATGTCTTTCACCAACTAATAACTATTTAAGCTAACTATAATTTTTTTTTGTAGTTTGTGGGGAATTTTTAAAAATATTGCCATCGTTTACTAGGAATATATATATACATGTTCGATACTACATTGCTTATATATAATATCTAGTGTTGTAATGTTCCTCAATATTATTTGTGTACACAGAAACAGAACGAGGTTCAACGTAACATTCATAATTGAGTATGTCATAATTACTGCTTTACTTTGTATTATTATTTATGGAGTAGTAATGAAAATTATTATTAATGTTCATGCTTGGAAAAAATTGTAATTCACGTTACGTAGATATAATCGAATTGTTAACGCTTAATTGAGGTAGATAAAGAGACAGAATACTTTTTCTATTTAATTTGAGAGAAAGAACTTGTTTAAAATATACAGTATAAGCTGTAATTTAGATCTACGTTATGAATTACTGTATTTTTCTCGGATATCGAACTCAGATCGTTCGTTTGATAATCAGTAATAAGATCTTTTAATTTTTAAAGATTTGTCAGCTGTAATTCCTAGTTTTAGATATATGGAAAAACGACTTACACATCACTTTTCATACAATATAAATTTGTTACAACTTATAACTCGAAAAGGTTAATTCCTGGCACACAGTCCTACCATTTTACAATCAACCAAATTTATATGTGAACATAAAAAGTGACAACCGGCCTTTTGGCTTACGAAATATCAGTCATTATTCTAATGTTGTGGTGATCAGAATGCTCGTCGTATATATTATTTTAGTAATCATTATCATAATCTTATCAGCGTATATTTTTATATTCAAGCCAAGCACCGTTTGTAAATGTAGCCAACACTTAATAAACAAAGTAGTTATAGTGACTGGTGCTAATTCGGGGATCGGTTTTGAAGTGGCCAAAAACATGGCTGAGAGAGGAGCTCGTGTTATATTAGCATGCAGAAATGAAGAGAAAGCTTTGGACGCCGTTAAGCAGATCAGGATATTGACAAGAAACGAAGATGTACATTACCAAAACTTAGATCTTGCATCATTTGACTCCGTTAGGAAATTTGCAACAAGGATACTCAATTCTCAAAAGCGATTAGATGTACTAGTAAACAATGCAGGTGTCGTTGACGGAGTGAACCAGAAAACAGAAGATGGATATTCTCTCATGATACAATCGAATTATCTCAGTTCATTCCTGTTAACCATGCTTTTGCTACCCTTGCTCAAAGCGTCGCCTCCAAGTCGTGTTATAAGCCTATCATCCTTTACTCATAAATACGTTAATATCAACCCAGAGGAATTGAGCACGATACCACAAGGCTGGAATCCAATGTTGAATAACATCTGGTACTTTAGGTCAAAGCTGTGCATTGTTCTAATGACTGTGGAACTGGCGCGTCATCTCAAAGATTCTGGTGTTACAGCGAACTGCTTGCATCCAGGAGTTGTCAACACAAACATGTTGAATAATATAAATGTGACCATAATCAGGTTGTTTATGAAAGTGATCAGGAGTCTTGTCAAAACGTCCTGGGAAGGTGCCCAAACGGCGATATATTTAGCAACATCACCTGAAGTGGAAAGTTCTGGTGGTTACTATGCAGAATGTAAGTTAACTAATCCAAGCCGAACAGCATGCAATGTTGAATTGGCCAAACGGCTATGGGACACTACTGAGAGACTAGTTAATTTTTATTAGCGCCGTATTGGATATGGAAGGTTCTGCTTCTCTTAATATATGTATTTTACTTGTATTATCATGGTATTCTTCGAGTCGATCCAATTACTCAAGTATAAGAACAGGCTTGAAAATGTTAAAATAAAATATGTTTAACTTTTTAAAAGTCGAAACATAGAAGTCATTTTATTTTTATCCCCAGTAGTATCTTGTCGAATGATTTTCAGGGGACGGGCCAAAGATGCTGTAAAGAATTAAACTGCTTATTTATTGTTTATCATACATGCTTTAATGTAAATAGGTACAGTTTTACACATCTCATAAAGATTTTACGCTGTTTTTTATTCATTATGTAACGAACTAAAACGCTGATTATATTATTATTTACATAAGATTTTGTTTTTTAGTAATTCAAAAAAAATGTAAAAACAACTCAGTTTCAATAATTTAAATATAATCGGCAATCATTATTTTAAATTTAAAAGTGCGTTATATTTAAGTTCGACCTTGGTGATTACAAGGTTGTCTTGTTGAGCAATGTGTTGGTTTGTGTTGCTTAAAAATAAATACTTGATATTATATTAACTATATGTTTGTAAGACCAAGGCGAGTTGTGTACCGCAAGATATTAGATTTGAATTCTTGGTAAATAGTGGGTTCTTTCTATTAAGTATAGATTTCTATGTCATCCAATACTGATCAACTATTTGCCTATATAATAAAATCAATCTGAAAATTGAAACATATCTAACATTCATATGTTTTGTACATTATCATCGATAACCATATAGAAAAAATAAACTGTACATAGTTATTAATTGTGTATCTATTTCCGGTAATCATTTGCATAAATAAGCGTACCTACCAAAGCCATTGTACCTACCCACAAAGCGCTTCTTCTACCACCAGATATACATAATAATATAATTGTAGTTTAGTTGTTAAGTATTTAAGAAAACAGTAACAAAATATAATACGTATAATATCAATGTAATTATCTTATTGAAATCGTTCAGTTGAATATTTGGGCTATTAATGAAAGAGACTTATTCTCAAATATCACTGTGTTTGCTAAAAGGTTTAGATGAAGGGTAAAATAGTTAAATTATCATAATATTTATTTAGAAAAAAAACACGTATCAATTTTGATACGCATTAAGGCCGTAAAGAAATCAGTTAAAACTAGGCATGAAATAATGGGAAACAAGTTGTTTTCATCATCGCGTAACAACACTTAACACTTTTTCGGAAGCAAGATGTTAGAATAAAACAACAAAATAATATTACACAACAGTAAAATACGCACAACCAACCTATAAAAATAAGGAATAGTAATGTGAACGTTCGGTTTACAAGATTGGGATCAAAATTCAAACTCAATCCTATTAAGAGTAAAATTTGCGTTGAACTTATTTTACAATTACGTAAATTATTAAAATTTAACCTGGCTATAATATTTTTGTAACACAGACAAACCTCCTTGCTTAATGGGCATTTTCATTCTGGTCGCTCGCCATTCTCTGTAGACAGATGCCCCAGCAAATTCACAGCGCAAACTTTGGCGCTCCGTCATGAAAAAGTGTCAAGAACTTAAAATAAATTTTCCGTTTTTAATTCATTATCCGCCATGAATCGAATGGAAGACAGTGTTTTATCGCCCTCATATTTCTGGGATTGTCTTAGACTAAGCGAGGACTGTCCATTCATCTCGAACGCAGATCCGAAATTATACTACTTCGCTTTAGGCTTGGTAGCACTTTATGTCTCATTGGTGCTGATGATCCTCTTCGACTTGAAGTTTTATTGGGGGCTGGACAACTTGTACCATCAGGTAAACTACTATCTTAATTTTATCAAGCGGAAGATACGGGACGTCCAAATCAACCAGCGCCGATTAGTTAGTGCTCAAGAGAGGACGGAGAAACAACTGAAGAAGAGTATAAAATACAACCACCTAGTGACCGTACTCCGATCGACATTAGTGAATGATCCTGAAAAACTTGTCCAACTAACTAAAAGCAATCCAGGTAGCAGAAACGATTCTACAGACGACAACTGGAACGAAATCACTAGTCTCATCGAATTTGACGAGAATGGAAATTTTGTATTTTAATTGTCATAATTAATATCCAACAATAGACGTTGTTTATATCTTCAAATATTGTTATTCTATCAGTTTACACACTTAGTTGCTTTTCGTAAGAGCGAGTATTATTTGTGGTGATAAACGAAGTATCTTTATCAGTATTAACATTCGTGATAGTGACCAAGTTTTCTCTTTTAATTATACATATACATCAATTTTAACAAATCATTATAAATATGTAATTTAATACATACCCACACTATATAAATATTTGCATTAGTTTTTCTGACTTTCATACATGTCATCATAGTAAAATGTGTTTAAGGATTTTGTTCCATTGACTAGGTAACCAACAGTAGATACACAAATTTTATATTTACCTTAAATATACAAGTGGTATAATTATTTGTAAATGAGCCTCCCTTCAGTAACTTTTGTTAAATAGCAAATAATTAAACAATTTCAAAAACTTAATAATTACATTACAGTTCTAAACATTAGAACGAGGAATTTTATAACGAAAAAAATATATAAGAAATGCGACAAAAAACTTACTTTAACTTAGTAGCCTTAAGTAAAATATTTTAAATACAATTCACACTGCTCAAAATTTAACTTCTTATTTATAAAGCTTTGACTACTGTTTGACTGATTGTCGAATTTTAAAATTTAAATTTAAATATGGCTACTCTAATAATCATTCTATTATTATATTTTTTACATTATATACCTAAGTATATTTCATATTTTTAACTAATATTAGTATAGAATGTCAATTTGCATCTCGAGTGAAGTATGCACGAAGTTTAACGAATTCTAGGACAGGAAGAGGCACCGGTTAAAGTTAAGCAATTAAGAAGAGTCTAAGCGAGATTGCATGAAACCAACTTCTTGTTTTCCATTCCGAAAACTATCTTCATTACACTGGCTGTACGAGAGGCAATGTTTTCCAACCTTACATATCAACCGACTACATTCAAGTTTCAACTCGACAGATCTGTCCGCAGTAAAGTGTAAACGCCCGAGGCGGGAAACTTTGCGACAGAATTCATAAGCGCGTCCAGAAAAATGAAGAGTTGCTTATTAAAAGGACTGTACGTAGTCAAAGCGATACTTTGACGCGACTGGTTAGAATCTCATTACTTTCAAAAAGCCCTGTAACTGTTTACACAAAAAACTATCATTTTCGTATGTGGCGGCAAAGATTTTTGTAAGACCGAAACATTTTCTTTTTACCAAATTTCGAACCCTGTACTTCTCGTTTATGGAACCCAACGCTTTTTATAAATAAATCCTTGTACTGTATGTTTGTCCTAACCTCATGCTTGTGTTAGATTTTTTTATAAAAGAGAACCTAATATATGATTATAGGCATTGGTTTATATGAGATTTTAAGGATAACATGTAAATAACAAGAAGATATATGTCAAAAACTATTCTATTTCGTTAAACAAGATGTTACATTTCAGCAACGTATTCCCCATAATACCGGCAACACATTTATTGTATAAAAACGTCTAGGAATCTAACAAATAATGGTACCCCAATTATATATTAATTTGAAGATATTTATCTATATATTACACAAGGTTACGATACTTTATTGACATATATTGATGCCAATTCAATATAATAAAAAGTACATAATATCTCACAACCTATTTATTACAATATAATAATGTACATCATACCTGAACCATCCAATGTTCAACCAACGTTCGCATTATAGGTATTAATACAGATATACGATTTTAAACATATTCTGAAACCTCTAACGTTCCAAACAACGTTCCAACAACGTTCCACCAGCGTTTACCCTACGATCGCTCCAGAGCCACTGCTCCACGCTTTACAGCGCACCCCCCTTTTATACAACTCACAAACAACCGACCAGGTGTTAGCCTGACGTCATCGAATAACACGAACATTACTTTTCAACATTTTGTAAACTACCCGCAGTTATACATCACAAAAACAATGATTTATACTACGTTTAATTATATATATATACAAAATAATTCAAATAATCGTCACGGCCATACTGACATGTGATTTGTTCTCAAAGCACTTATTCTTACAAACAGAATTGTTGGTAATAATTATAACCAAGTTTATTTATATAAATATTCAAAATAATTCAAATAATCCGTTACGGCCAAACTGACACATTATTTGTTCTCAGAACACTTGTACTTACAAATAGGATTGTTGGTGATAATTATAACCAAGTTTAATTATATAAGTATTCTAAATAATTCAAATAATCCGTTACGGCCAAACTGACACATAATTTGTTCTCAGAACACTTTTGTACTTACAAATAGGATTGTTGGTGATAATTTGAATCGAACATCAAAATATAATGTTTTTTAATACTTGAAATATGTAATCTATTAGAATCGAATATTTATTATTTAATCTTTCTTTTTTTTTTTTTTTTTTATACCTCTCGATTGCATAGACGTGTCGAAACCCTCATCCGCTGCTTATGAGTCTAGTTTGCTTGCACCAAACAATCGAGCGACCAGCGGAGGTATTCCTATACCGATTACCTAGAGGCACTAGCCCCCTCACCCGCTGCCGGTGGTCTGGACTAGTACCAAGTAATCGGTCGACCAGCGGCTTCTATTCTTTATACTGTCTACCTAGACGCACTAGCCCCCTCACCCGCTGCCAGTGGTCTGGACTAGTACCAAGCAAACAGTCGACCAGCGGCTTTAATTATTTATACTGTCTACCTAGACGCACTAGCCCCCTCACCCGGCAGTGGTCTGGACTAGTACCAAGCAAACAGTCGACCAGCGGCTTCTATTCTTTATACTGTCTACCTAGACGCACTAGCCCACTCACCCGCTGCAAGTGGTATGGACTAGTACCAAGCAAACAGTCGACCAGCGGCTTTTTTTTTGTCGTTTCGAATTATCACCTCTCTTAAAAATAACAGTACATTAGTAAATAATTAACAATAATAGAAGCCAACTAAGAACAATTTTCGTCCCTATTTTCGTCCATCATTTCTCTAGGCTAATAACATCGCAATTTTTCTTTTGCAACTGTGCTAATACGTAAATTATCTAATTGTGGTCTGGGGCACTGCTGCCAAAAACAAATCTTAAACCATCACAATTTTCTCAAAATAACTGATATTACGATTACTTAACTTCAACTGATACGATTTATAAAGAGAATCGACTTATGACCATCAATCAAATCTACATTTATAGTATTCCTATATTTGTACTCAAAATATTAAATGGAGCCATCTAAACACAAATAAAGTTTCTAACTATCGTAAAAATAACATATGCATGATGGTGCTAAAAACATAGAAACACTTCCCCAGAACTATTAAAAATATTAAATCATACAAATTATTTAAAACGAAATTAAAACATTATATTCTTAGCATCGTTAAAAAAGATTAAATAATGCAAACTACAATGTGCCACAAAGTTGCACCATCTTATTATTTAGCATGTATTATTTATTAAAAGCAGTTTTACCGCTAAAGACAAAACCGAATGTGTAATAGTGTATTATTAGAAATATCTATATTTAAAATAGATCAGGGAAGTATTTTCAACCAAACTATTATTGTAAATTCCTACCTACTCGCATATAATATCATGTAATGTATAATATTGTGTTTACGCTTAAGTGAAAATGTATTTCTTGCGTAAATTAATGTATTAAACCAAATTACTAATTCCCCTCAAAAAAAAGAGATCGTTTGATAGCAAGAAAACTATTTCGTAAAGTCCTTTTATACGTCTCCGCTAAGGATGATTTCGCTCACGTCCTCACCAGGGCTCCTTGTCTGATAACGGAGTAGTGTTCGAAAGCCGTGTGTCAGTTCATCACGTCTCGAGCAGTCCCGGCTACGCTGCAGATGTTCTCCCTGATCGTCCATAATTCTCAGGGCTCCTCGTCTGGTTACGGAGCAGTGTTGGAAGGCCATGTGTTCCTTCATCACGTCTCGAGCAGTCCTGGCTATGTCGCAGATGTTCTCGCTGATCGTCCATATTTCTCTGAAACTCATACTTGGTGTATTAGTTTGGATACTTATTTCAATTATTCATCCCAAGTGAGGGTTTTTTTTATTTTTACTATGTTTGGCTAAAACGATTCGTAACAAAAGCTATTGCTAGTATCTGAATACGTCGCTGATTACTTTTTAGGAATTTATAATCCTAATCCATCTGCATCCTCAAAATCTCGATATATATTTAACAAATTTACGTGTCATATCCCTTTATAAGTACTTAATGTACACGTTATTATCTTTATTTCAAAAAAAAACAGAAAACGAGAAAAAAAAAACAATGTGACATAATAAGAAGAAAACAATATATATATAACTAGACGAGCAAACATGGCGTGAGGTATTTTATTCACTGTATTGATCGATCCCACTTCTGATGTTAGATTTTTTTATAAAAGAGAACCTAATATATGATTATAGGCATTGGTTTATATGAGATTTTAAGGATAACATGTAAATAACAAGAAGATATACTGTCAAAAACTATTCTATTTCGTTAAACAAGATGTTACATTTCAGCAACGTATTCCCCATAATACCGGCAACACATTTATTGTATAAAAACGTCTAGGAATCTAACAAATAATGGTACCCCAATTATATATTAATTTGAAGATATTTATCTATATATTACACAAGGTTACGATACTTTATTGACATATATTGATGCCAATTCAATATAATAAAAAGTACATAATATCTCACAACCTATTTATTACAATATAATAATGTACATCATACCTGAACCATCCAATGTTCAACCAACGTTCGCATTATAGGTATTAATACAGATATACGATTTTAAACATATTCTGAAACCTCTAACGTTCCAAACAACGTTCCAACAACGTTCCACCAGCGTTTACCCTACGATCGCTCCAGAGCCACTGCTCCACGCTTTACAGCGCACCCCCCTTTTATACAACTCACAAACAACCGACCAGGTGTTAGCCTGACGTCATCGAATAACACGAACATTACTTTTCAACATTTTGTAAACTACCCGCAGTTATACATCACAAAAACAATGATTTATACTACGTTTAATTATATATATATACAAAATAATTCAAATAATCTGTCACTTGCTTATGTGAATCTTGTATTGAAATCCTATATAGTTTTTGACCGATGTCCTGCAAAAGGCAAATTAAAATGTCTACATCGGCAACGAATGTTGACGCATGCAATAGCTTATTATTAACTAGCTGTGCCCGCGACTTCGTCCGCGTGGAATTGTGACTTGGGGCAGAATTTTTTAATTATTTATGCTGTTTATTGATTTATGTAAGAGCGCATTTGAATGCAACCTCTCTATGTTGTAAGTGCTACTTTGCCGCAACACTCTCACTCTCATTCCTACACTCACTTCCACGCTCACGCCCACTCCTATTACCAAAAAGCCAAAGAAGAAAGTTTCATTTTTCTAGCTTCAAAACCACGAATTTCCATACAAACTTTCATCCCCTTTTTCAACCCCTATCAATCCTTTTTTGGCATTAAAAAGTAGCCTCTTTCTCAGTCTCTAAAACTATCTGTGTACTAAATTTCATTTAAATCAGTTCATTAGTTTCGGAGTTAAAGCGGCACAGACAGACAGATTTACTTTCGCATTTATAATATTAGTATAGATTTCGAGGATCCATAGCTTGCATATATAATTATATACCTAAAATAATAATAAACAAATGGTAAACTCTAAATATGTCTGTAAAAATAAAGTTGGTAAGGGTATTTTCTAAACGAAATCCCAGTATATTGTTTCGCTTGAAATACGGTTATATCGTTGTATGTTCTAAACTGACAGCGATATTTTCTTGAGACACATAAGTTACAAAACTCTTGACTCTATTTTACTCCGCACCAGTGAAATATTTATACGACTGAAAGTATGAAAATTTCACCGAAAAATTCACGTTTAATATATCTCGGGGTTAGAGTTCTTGTGAGATGACGACCTCATTTGTTAGTGGACGTTAGGCGCCCTCCCGTTGGACTCGATCCAACCACTTCCGACCAGATTAACTTTTTATTCAATCTGAACGCCACTTACGGATACGAGAAATTTCATTAATTTGTTTCATTTTATTAAGTAGTCTAATAGCCGCCAATATCTAAAAACAAAACACGAGCACAAAATGCAAGGCGCAAAAATATAATTATTGCCTAATAATATTAAGCAGAAAGATTCCTCCTTATTAAGCATTATCTATAATAATATTATAACGCTGAAGAGTTTGTTTGTTGGTTTGAACGCGCCAATCTCAGGAACTACTAGTTCGTATTGAAAAATTATTTGTGTTGATTAGAGCATTTTTCGAAGAAGATTTTAGGTAAAAAATATATATAAAAGAATGATTCTTCTATGAATGACCTAAAAAAATGTCCGCGACAGTTTATCTTAAGGATAACTTGCAAGAACCACGGGACGTGAACGACGTCGTGGGGAATATCTATAATTTATAAAGATGGAAAGGAGGTTTGCAAGAATAAATTTTGACGCCCTAAGTAAATACATACCTATTATACGCGGATGAAGTCGCTGGCACAGCTAGTTAATAACAATCATAGTGTGTGTGTCCGCTATGTATATTATATAAGTGTGTAAAGATGGCGTATGCATGATAGAAAAAGTAACGATTTCTTTATTATATTTTCACTTACACCCTGAGCAGGTTCGTCTCCTTGACGAAACAATACTCCCAAATTAATTTAATTTGTATAATTTTTGTACTAAAAGAAAATATATCTGCGATAGTGTTCTCCCGTTACAAGCTCTACCACACTTTTCATTTCAGTAAATACTTCTAGGCAACTTCTACTACCCTAATACACTGAGATTGAACCAAGAGAATCAAAGTAACAGCGACGTTTATGATAATTATGATTAACATTTTAAATAATTCTTGAGAAATTGGATCTATAAGGTGTGAATTAAAACAACATATTTATTTTATGGTTTATTCGTATCAAGCACTCACATACATCCCTAATAAATACTTATCTGTTAATTTTATCCAAAGCTTTAGTTTTAACTTACAATCGAATTACTTAACTATATTTACACTCACGATCCTGATACGGTTACAATTACCTTAATGACGGCGTAACAAAACAAGTTAAAACGAAAACTTAACATAAAACTAACAAACACAGCCAAATAATAAAAATAACATAGACATAACGACAAATCAACGCTTATTAATTAAGTAACATTAACAGAATTTTGTAACAGAACGATCGGCGACGACTAACTACGTAACAATGGTGGCGTAATGACCATTTTCGTCCCCACTGTGGGATATTAATGAACTCTACGAAGTAAATGTTGAAACATTACGCTTAAAAAGCCAAATGTGCAAAGCGCTGCGCTTATATGAAACAATTTAATTAAGCTCACATTATCTCGGTAATTTTATCAGAATATAACAGCGAAATATATTGAAATTTAATAAGTATGTCTCTGATTGTTGTGGAGGGGGGGCGAAAATAATCACGAACCGTTAACAGAGGTATTAAAAAAGTTATTATCGTGAAAACAACACATTAACCGATACATTTTCGCGTAACCGTGCACGTTGTATCATTTACGAGAATAATATTTTATTCGCTACGTATGAGTAATTGAAAACACGATAATATAGCGTTCTTTTAAGGCTTGAAGTTAAACCAAAAAAGAAGGCACGACAGGCACTTGAGGAGTTAAAGGCACGCTGTGATAAGAATTTTACAACGTAATTAAGAACAAGGACACTTTTAAAACAAAAAATCAACAAGTAACAACGTCCACATTACAAAACGAAACAAAAATTCAACTTTTATTATACAAGATTGTCGCTTTGAAATTATAAGCGCGAGTTGAAATTGAGAGAAACAAAACAAAAATTCAACTGAGTTCAACAGTAACTTAACATTTGCGTAGATCGAGTCAACAGCCAGACCAGCCGGTGTCTGTGAGATAACTTCGCTCATCAATAACTTTTACATATCTAAAGAGTTCTAAACTTAACAATTAACAAGTCTCCCTATGTTTAAAACGATTCTATTTCGTGTATTTTATCATTAATTTGTCTTAGTTACCTTCGAAATGTTTAGAGTCAATCGTAGGTACACAAAATACTTAACAAAGTACAGTTTATTTTAGTACATTAATGGTTAAATTTTTGAAGGACAAGTTTTAATCGACAAACTGAAACTTAACAAAGAAATTGGTAAAATCATAAATTAACGAATTAAGGACAAAGGTAACAATTAACACAACAAAGATACAACAATTTTGTCAATATAGACAGAATTTTCAACCAACTTGAATTTGCAAAACAAAACGTAACAATTATTGAATTTTAAAACAAACTGTCGTTTTTTTTTTGTTTTTATCCATTTTCATACTTAACAGTGGCTTTTAACAATGTTTTAGTGGCAAACCGAAACTTAACGAATTATAAGGTAGAACAAAATTTAATGTGGAAACGCATTTTTATATTTAAACAAAGCCGTAATTTATCTCGAAGTATGCACAAACCGAAACTCAACAGAAACCAAATGAGTCACGAAAGTAAACAATAACCGTATTTTTAAGTTTTCAATGAGTTTTAATCAACTTTAAACTTAACAAAAACTTCACGAGATAGTGAACAATTAACGGCGCTTAACAGAAATATTAACAAGAGAGCTGTCGAGTGTAACAGGTTACAAAACTTAACTCGAAATTAAAGACCAACAAGACCGTTCATTAAGGTGAATAAAAGATAAGGGTGATAAAGTAAAATCTACGTTACTCAAAACACACAAAATATCGCTAAAGAAGGACTACTATCTAAAAAGACCTATGCTAAGTTTCAGTTGATGCTTAAGAGCTTGAAGGCATTTGAAAAGGGGATAGATAACTCGAGCTTTTTAGCAATAGCTTATCGATCACGTACCTTCCACTATGTCAGGTATCTTATAGCCAATCTATTTATTGTGGACGCTGAACTTTTCGAGCCATCTGAATACTCATTCATGATTTCTGAAAAGAAAGAAACAATACATTAGGAATCACATCATACTACAATTTTAACAGGAGACGCAAAGAAAAATAATCTTTATCTAGTTTTTAAGTAACTAACTAAGCTATTTAAGATACTAAATAAATGAGAAAGAATTAAACAATTATTAACTGATTACAAAGACAACATAACAACTAGAAAATAAACTTCTGATTATGAAACGAGAAATACATTTTGCACTTAAGAGCAGTTATTAAAATATTTAAACTTGCATCTTACTTATTCTACAAAGCGCGAAGGGCCTTTGTAACTCCGAAAACAAGAAAGTGCGAAGTGATAAACTTTACTTACCAATAAATTTTCTCGAAAGTGTTCTCGAAACAATCTCCAAATAGACTTACGAAGATGTTTTTACGAAACGAAATTGCTTTTACTGTTACTAAAACATTGATTAACTTCGCGTCTGCTCCCAACTTTTAATTGACAAACTAGTAATGTTTGAACGTGATGTTAATATTGGATATGCACTTTTCTCCGGGGACCCGCGGGCCCCCGGGTCCGTACGTTGCGATGGAAATTTTGGAAGTAACATTCATTTCGATGCCACACCCTTATATACGGGTCCCGAATTCCCTTACTGCGTCACCGTGGGAGCGTACGCGCACGTGGGCTCCTTGCGTAAGCGCGCACAATGGCCCCCTTTTTCTTTGTTGCATTGATTTCGACCCCTTGAACGTCTTGCCTATCTGTATTTACCTGTACTTGCGATGGGGTGAGCTCTGGGAACCTACAGAAATTAAAATTATTGTTGATAATCGTTATGATTCGTAAGAGGGACGACCGACTAACGGAATTTTCTCACGGAGTCATGCATTGTTATGTAAATAGTATTTGGAGTAAGCATTAAATCTAACGGCCGTTATTGCGCAGTAAATTTTAATCTCCAGTAAAACTGTGAGTAAAAAAGAAAAACGCGAGAATAAAGTGTGTTAGGAAAAACTCACTGTACCCTTTTCATTTCGCGTCTCCACGCTCGAGTGTAAACAAGCTTTCTTATTCAATTTCCTGAGTATGTACAGATTACGTCGTGCAGTATGCAAAAATTGAAGGGCGTCAGCGGTGGCTAAAACAAGTACGTGTGCCCCATTCCTTATTCCTTACTACTGACTCATTAATTTGCGAACGCTCAAAGCTAACGGACCGATTGACTTGCCCCAAGTGTTTTGCGCCAACAAAAGATCTTTTCAGCGATAACGACGAACGTGCTCTGTTTAAAATAATGAGGCCGTAATTTATTAAGCAAAAACCGAAAGGTTTGTGCTGACCCTTCACATGTATAAGTTACCAAGGTTATTCAAACATAGTTGAGGGCTTTAGGGTTGACGCGATATAAGCTGAAATTAAACATTTTGTATTTCGAGTCGAATCGAGTCCTTCCCCCGTAGAAATCTTAGTCACTTATATAAGACTAGCTGTGCCAGCGACTTCATCCGCTAAGAGTATTTATTTTGGACATCGTTCTAGACCTTTATATTTATAAACTTATGCCATCAGTCGCGTCCTTTCCCGTCGTTCTTAAAAGTTAATCTTAAAAGATAGACATATACCGTCGCGAACTTTTTTTAGATCATTTAAAGAGGAATCATTCTCTCATACGTATTTTTTGGGTGTCTGAACCGTTTTCGCAGCGTACGCATCTGAAACCCACAGAGATGAAAAATGTTCCCCGTTTTGCTCCTATATTATGTATTTCCCGCTGTATCTTCGCTTCTATTAGTCACAGCGCGATTTGTTATAGCCTTCCTCAATAAATGCTTTAACCAAAACAAATTTATAAAGGAATCATGTAACAATTGCAGATGCAGATGCAAATGGAAAAATACGTTTGTTGTTTGAAAAAAATCTCTTGACCGTTAAAAATCTAATGAAGAAACTGCTTTGTTGTAGATTAAAAAGTATATAATTATAATATGATGTAAGAAATTTAGACATCTCAGATTTAAATAAAAGTAAGTTAATACTGTTTTTAAAAAAACATTGCTATATTTCGACTACCTTTTTACTTATAGCAAGCCTTTATAACAACGTAGTAATGCTTCGCTGCTATAAATTCCTAATATTAGAATTTCTATAACACGGGCACGTAATTTCGTAATAAAAGTAAACGACTCACGTGTAAGGGTATGCTCTAATTTTACGATAAATGTTAACGACTGACGCAAATAAAAGTTTTAATTGTTTTATTAAAAACTTAATTAAAGTATGAATGTTGGAATGGATTCTGAAATCAGTATGTTTTTACATTGTTTTTCGTGATGTTTGCTAATGAAGGAGGCGTTCAAAGGTTCAACGTAACGCCCGATTGGCTTTCCAGAATTTCTGTTTTTCAATTCCGGGAAAGATAGATTCCAAAAAGATACCGGGAAAGGTATGTGGTATGTGCAACGTAAGTACAAAATCACGAATAACTAATTAACTGACACAGAAAAAAGTAATCTATGGTTTTATAGATATTTAAATTTCGAATATTACAATTAAATTAAAATTAACAGTTCCAAATTTAAATTTAAAATTTTGTGTTTAAATTAAAGTTCTGATTATAATAATTGTTGTATAAGTTACAGCGTACAAAATTACAGTTTGTCAGTTCATAAAGCTTTATCTACAAAGCGGACCAGGTGCAAAGCACTCCCAATGACCAATCGTATTTAAACTTAATTTACCTTATTTATTGAAATGTGCTCACATGCATACATTTCATTTAATTAACATTAAACAGTCGGATTACGATTTGAAAATGTCGATTTAAATTAATTCGAATATAGGTGATGACATGGTAATGTTATTACGATTAACATCCATATTTAACATATTATAGATTAGATGTAATTAATAAATGTAAAAACATTGAATGTGATAACAGTAATTTTATAAGTTCAGTCCTGTTTAGGGTTCCCACTGCTGGGACCATCAAAACTGTACGGACTTACGTTCTGATTTTGAGACATATTTGATTTTCTTACTTTCATTCCCACTACTATAAGTAAAATATTTTTCTATAAGATAGTACTTTGCTTATGCAAATAATAATTGCATATCGGCTCTATTAAAGAACTATTACGGATACAATTGTATCTCTACTTCTATACTAATATTATAAAGGGGAAAGATTTGTATTTTTGTATGTAACTGGTAAACTCAAAAAGTACTGGACCGATTTTAATAATTCTTTTTTTCATTTAGAAAGCTACATTATCCCTGAGTAATTAGGATATATTTAGAACTTGATTACTTTAGGCATCTTTAGAAATTCTTACTAAAACCAACGGAAGGCGTAAAAAAATTTGCCGTAAAATGTCTTTCTTCGCATACGCTGCGAAAATTAGAGGACAAAAATTTCCACAATCTTATAGAACATGTCAATATCTACAAAAAACATCGAGAGCATATTACGTCTATTTGTAGTCGTCGCTATAACTACTATTTTACATTTAACAGATTAATAGAAATACCGATCAAAATCAGACCGGGTTTTCCCTTTAAAAAATTTTCGGGGGGGGGCCCCCTTGTCGCGCATCGAGTAACTAATTCGACGATAGAGGGGCAGTGCGGTCGACTCCTTACGCAGTGGGTACGAACGACATTGTATATTTCGACCGGGGGAAAAAAAAAAAAAAAAAATACCGCGTTTTAAACCGTTAAAGTTTTTTATTTAAACATTTTTATGCTTCACTTAAAAAGTTCTAGTGTAGTTTAGAGCTACTTAGTATTAGTATTAGGAATCACACTTTGCATAATATTTGTCAAAGTTCTTTTCAGAACTATCGCTTTGTACTTGAATATTTTCTTTTGTATTATTATGAGTTTATTCTTAATTTCTCTGATTTAAAATAAATATCCTTCATAGCAATATGCCTAGAAGAAGAGGGTCGCAGCTATCTAAGAATAGTTCCCAAGCGGGATTAGCAAAAATTCGTCGTATTGGAGAGTCTTCTTCCTAAAATGATCGTCTGGAAAGTATTAGAGTGCACGCGTCCCAATCGCGAGCCAGAGAATCTATCGTCGAATGTTCAAGTTCGTTTTGCAGAACAAAATGCAAGATCGTCTCAGGGACTTGAAGGAAGGAACTAACCTAACCTAACGCGTTCACGGGACACTAACACTGAACGCTCGCAGCGGCTCCTGAACCAGCGAGATAGACCACGGTCGTTAACAGCTAGGACGCGCAATACTTTTTTTTCTAATTTAGTGATTCATGGTTGTTTTAATAAGTATGCTTTTAATTTGAATGTCTGTACTTATTTATGTCTACCCGTGCGAAGCCCGGACAGGGCCGCTAGTCTTTCTATAAAAATATAACTTTTAATTTAAGAAGTTGGAACACAGATTATATTAGATTATTTTTAATTTAATTACGGCACGACGTTATTTCAAATGCCTATTCTTATTAATGGATCTCCTACCGATTACAATGACTATAAATACTGTCTGTACTTTATGGCACACATTTAAAAAAAACACTTTAACGGTTTAAAACGTGTATACAACATATATTAGTTAATTAACATAGATTAGTTTAAGATAAATTTCCTGTTATCCAAGTATTACAGTAACATATTGTGTTGCAGTTATGATGAGCATTTCCACCCTTGCTTAACCTAGATTCTGCTATATCGCAAACTGATTACTCCAAATCCCTTCTATTTGTACCGACTCCATTGAGAGTTATTTTCAACGAGCTCGTTTGGAACAAGCCAATTTATTGCCTGTGAAGAAAATTACGTTGCATCTCGAATCTTCACAAACATCGCTGCATCGTTACGTGCATGGCAATAAAAGTATGATGTTATGTAATACTGTCTATAGTTTACGCGAGTCGTACACATTTAAATAAAACACTTTAACGGTTTAAAACGCGATATATAAGTTAAACTTATTTGAGAAATGATTTTTAACTTCGGCCCGACGTTTCGGATGCATTTCAGCAGCCGTGGTCAGTCTGTTTTTATTTAAATTTATCACTCGCGTTAACTATAGACAGAAACGTTCTAATTCAAAGATACATAAATTAAACATAAGTCCTCCAACATCTCTTGTATCGAATTGAAAAGCTCATAGCCGGATCGGCAGCACAAGACCGGAACAGCGATGCAGGAATTATTCGCATCCGGTCTCTACTGAACAACCGTAAAGACTGTGGGCCTTTGAATTTGATCCAGAGGGATATTCTCATGTGTAACGTCGGACAATGGAGACTGCATACCTACCACATTTCCACGTTGCACTAGTTCGTGGTTAACAAAGTACATCTTGACATAACCCTAAAGTGCGTGCTTCGTGTTTTCATTTTTATTGATTGAGTGCTTGGATTTAAACTATAACCACTAATATTTAACATGGAAGTTAATGTTTAACACATTCTGCAGATTATGAGGTTTAGGTTTCAGATATAATGAGTTCATTATAGAGAATATTTTTTTTTACCAGAAATGAGTTTGGCAGGAAAAACTGTTGTTACTTTATGTCTCGGAGTCTTAGTTAAGGCACTGGTTATACATATTTACTTTATCGAGAGAGTGGTGTACTTAAGGTCAAAAATCTTATTTCTCGTGAATACAACTTTTAACAGCAGTAAACGAACCATACTTAAAAAGTAATTAAACGCGCTAATCTCAGAAACTACGGGTTCAAATTGAAAAATAAATTTTGTGTTATTTAGAACATTTATCGAGGACCTGCTGCTGCAAAGCATCCGAAACGTCAAGCCGTAGTTAAAATCGTTTTAAAATAAGTTTAACTACTATATATCGCGTTTTAAACCGTTAAAGTGTTTTATTTAAATATATACCTAATTTTCTACAAGTACCTAAGGCTTTATTATGAAGAAAACTAACAATAATATACGGCCTGTTTAGAACCTTGGTCCGGTTTCGTGTTCCTATTGTTACCATTTAATGTTTTGCATTGCTTCCACTTTATCTCCGGACGTAAGTCCGCTGAAACCCCAAAATTATCTGG